AACACTTTTCAATAAAAGTCACAACCTTTTTTTACATAGGTGTTGCCCAAACCATAGCCAATCCTATTGTTTTACCCAAATCCTTTTGGAAAAAATAGAAAACTTTTTTTAAAATCGATGATATAAAATGTTTTTTTATATATTTTATCAATAACCCAATTACCCTTCAGAAATTCTCAGGTTGTCAAATAACCCAAAAGATTTTAGAATATCAACTTTCACAAAAAGATCTAGTTATTGGTTTTGATGTTATTACTAGTGTACCCAAAAAAGATTAAGTTGAAAAGGTATCAAATTTGAAAGATATTTTCAGCTTTAAAAAAACCTTACAAACTTTTTCACAATGATAGTCTAGACAAATTTATTCCAGAAATTCAAACAAAAGTTTATTCAGATTTCTTGTGCAAATAATCATTCAAAATTTCTTCATAAATGCAAAAATTCATTGTGGAAAAACCTTAAATTTTTTTCCTTTCAAGAAAGATGAAAATGCTAGTTTCATAAAAGTTAGTCATTCCGGTATAAACCCTAATTATTTGAAGTTAGTAGTTGAAGAATGTTCATAATTCTATGTCAACAAAAGATCAGAACAAGTTCATGAAAAATTAAGATTGATGATTAACTACAAGCCTCTTAATATTTTCCTTATAAATGGTAAGTTTTCTCTTCCCAACTGAAAGTTATTGTTTGCAAACCTGTTACAAGCTAAAGTCTTCTTAAAGTTTGATTTCAAAGTAGAATTTTGACAATTTGATATACATCCATAAAATATATACAAAACAGTATTTTGCATCTTTTAACACCATTTTTAATGGACAATTATATCCTTTGACCTCAAAATAGCCCCGTCACCATTTGAAAAAGCAATGACAAGATTTTTGCTTCAATAATTAACAACGCACTTATTTACATTGATGATATCTTTCTTTTCTGTCCAGATATCACATCCCATACATAGTTATTAGATAAATTTAAAATGATTGTCTAACATTATGGGTAATGCTTTCAGAGAAAAATATGATAATTAGTGCTTTAAAAATTGATTTCTTAAGAATTTATTTGAAAAATTATCAGTATATTGCTCAACCTCACATTTCTAAGACACTTGAAGATTTTCTTAATTGATAATATCTCAAAAAAACAAGGACAATACTTTTTTGGTAAAATCAACTACATGAATGAATTTCTTCCAAACCTTGCACATATATATTATCTTTTTAAATAAATGTTAAAGAAAAAAACCTCTCAAATAGTCTCAAAAGCAAACACAATCAATAAAGATATTGAAAATCATATCAAAGTCTTTTTCAATTTTAAAGATTCCCTCTAATGAAAAAAAAATTTTACAGATAGATGCTAATGATAAATTTTGGTCAATAATTCTCCTTGAAGAAAAAAATGAAAAAAAACATATATATGGATACAAAAATAATAAATTTAAAAATTCAAAAATCCATTATCATTGTACGCTAAAAGAGATTTTAGCAGTAAAATATGAAATCTAAATATTTGAGTTTCACCTCCTTAGATATCACTTTCTTGTTGAACTAGATATATCAGCCTTTGATCAGATGCTTACTTTCAGAAAAAAGTAGATGCCAAATGCATAATTACTTAGATTATCTCAATGGTTCTCAAAGTATTTCTTCTCCATAGCATATATAAAAAAAAAGGATAATGTTTTTTCAAATGTGTTATCTAGACCTTTTCCTAAACCTCATTCGAGTTCTTTAAAGATCATTCCTGTGATATCAATGGTGAACTCTTAACCCTCACTTTCTTCATCACAAGACTTTTTTTCCTTTCCACTTTTACTTTTCAAACCTTTGTTTCAGTGAAAAACCTTCCTCCATATATCTAGGGGATAATTGCATAAAAAACCTCATTTTTAAGTATCGAGCCATTCTTATTAGAACTAGAGCTGATCATGTATCAAACCTATAGACTACATCCAAAATGCTCTTTTCTTCATTTCTTTCAAATACCTCATATAACCATATTGTTTAAAGAGGTCTTAATCTTTTTATGGTATATTTGCCAGATCTACATTATTGTTAATGAGTTTAGAGTGTTAAAATTTAATTAGGCCAACTTTTAACTTGCTCAATACAAAATTTTGCAACTTGAAGATATTGAGTTCACGAAATTTTTTAGGTGGTTTAACTCATTCAAAAATTAGTTTCAATTCAGCAAAAATGTTTCATCGCATTATCATATTATTTTCATATTTCTTAGACCTTGTTAATTACATGATGATGGCACAATCAATTTTTAAACATACTCAGATATTTATGTATGTAGCCCATACTCTCTGTACAAAATAATATTCTTATACTCTGATGAGTATAGACTTTTTCTCAAAAGACTCTACAAGATCAACCACATTCACCAAATCCCTAAAGAATTTTCTCATTTCAATAAAGAACTATGATGGTGGTACCCTCCAGAATACATTCAAGAACTATGCAGTCATCTTAGTAAATGGACTCTTAAACCTCTTTTCAAGAAATGGTAGAGTGACTTGCCTTGCAAACTTATGAATTTTGATCTCCTCAACCTTGTAGAATTAGCATAACTTTCAACAAATCTTTATTGGTAGGATTTGAAAAACATCTCAAGGATAAGAGAAAGGTTTGAATGCAGTACAATCAATTATTTTAAAACTACAACAAAAACCCAAAAGAATTTGAAAATGAATTGTTCGAATGGATTGACAACTATTTGGTCATACAATATCTTGAAGAAATTGATAACAAGCAATGATGCTCTAGTGAGAAAACTTCCCTGTTTTAGTCTAAAAATTATATATAATTATGTGTAATGCTATTAAAGATGTTTTGCGGATTGCTGTATAAGTTTTAAGACAAGTTTGCTGATGACATGTCAACTCAAGTTTTGCTTTTATCAACATCAACTTTGACACTTATTGTCATGCTTTATTTTTGTCAAGTCATACTTTAAGTCATTTTCAGATCAAGTTTACTTTACTAAAACTACTTTGATAAAGGAAAAAAATATTATTTTTATTAAAGATACTTTATTAAAGTTACTTCAAATCAAGTCAATTGCTTTAAGTCAGGTCATAAACCCGTTATAATTATTATAGGTCCTATTTGTTTAATATGTTTTCATATTTAAGTTTGCAACTCCTTCCCAGAGAAGTCGCATTTAACGTTTAACATTTAAAATTTAACGTTTAAGTTATTTTCCTTGTAAGAAAATCTTCTCTTATATAATTATGTTCTTCTAAAACCTTATTTTCTTTTAGTGGTTCCTTCTTCCTTCTTCAAATTTTAAACTTAAAATTAGAGTGAGTTTTTTATATCATGATTTATAGTGATATAAGTTAGTATATTTTGTAGTTACTATAGTATTGTGGATCTTTTACATCAAAAATCTTGTAAAATTATCAAACAGACTATTAATCCACTAAAACAAAAAAAAGTTTAATGTACCAATAAATACTGAAATAAACTATCATAATAAAAGATATATCTTCATAAAAATTAAACTACTTATTCAATATCATGTCAAAAAGGTTCCTAATCTTGAGTATCTATTAAAATATCTTAATTATATATCTAAATTATCGATTATTTATGTTTAACATCTCTTTGACGCGGACAACCGATCACATTAGTAAATGAACAGAATTTAATAACTAATATACTCTCTTTTTGTTAGGCCATGAAGCTATTAGCGTAAAATATATCTTTTCCACTTGCTGAATTTATTACTATTTCTAACTGAAAGGCAAGGGCATAGACAAATAGCTCATAGTGATTATATGACGTGTGCAGAGATTATCGGTCTAAGGTAAAAAAAAGAAATTTATTCATATCCTGGAAATTTCAGGTGATAATTATGACTACAAGCTTAGCTTTATAAGTTTTGGGACCCCACCATTTTGAATTCGTTCATTTAATCATGGTGCCACTACGTCCTTTTAGCTTTTGGCTGCTTCCTTGAGTTGAGTTTCCGTCTCTATCTGGATTGGCTTTTCATGTTCCCAATTTCGTTCACTTTATCCCTTCCAGATTGTTCTTTGTTCAAGAGACGCGCAATTCACTGAAATGCATTCTCTTTCAAAAACAATAATTTTGCATCCCGTCCATATTCAAGTGAAATTCTTACAATTTTGTATTAAAAATTGATAATTTAATAAATTATGTATACAAACCCAAAATAATTCAATAACTCTGATATTAGATGATTAGTTTGTTACCCACAAACAATTTTAAAAGAAAAAAATTAACTGACTTTTAAATCAATCCACATTAAAACTGGCATTTAAAGATTACAAATTCGAAGTAACTTATGCAAATAATTTTTTTTAATAAAAAAAAAAAGAAAATTTCAAAGATAGAATAGATGTTAAAAAAAAAAAACCTTATTTAAGCATTAACGGGAGGAAGCCCAATGGGCTTTGCTTCGTTTCTCCTATTAAATGCCACAAGTCACGGGCTAGAGCCTATTCAATGTGCCTCGAAGAGTTGGACCTAAACTGACCTTCGCTGGTTCCCTTATAGATTGATCTTGAATTGCATTACCACTAAGGCCAGATAGTTCGAAAAATCTGCTTGCAAAATCAAAATTGGGCTTTCAATTTTCGTACCTTGGTGCCCACAAATGGCTAAACAAAAGAGACGCGAGGAAGCAACTTTCCATTCACCATCAACAAAAATTTACAGAATCTTTTTTTTTTTTTTTTTTGAGTAAAAAAAAGTCGTTTCCTCTTTTGTGCTATCAACAAATGTTCTACAAGCTTTGCTGCAAACACCGTAACCTCACTGGTGAGAACACTGCGGTAAGTCGGGCATGATCGGAAAGAGAGTAGTTTTCGGGCCATATCCCCTTCTCCGCTTCACGGGGGAAGAGAATTGCATTCTTTACTGTAAAGCCGATAGCTTCTTCCCCAATGCCTTCCTTTGAGTCCTCTAAGCTGCAATCTTCATCCATATGTTGTGACCATGTAGAGTTCCAAATTCTCTGCAGCAGTCTCAACCAATTACTACTGAACGTTTTATTCTAAAAACAAGGAGTTATGGACATGAAGTTTTTTAGTATGATTGAATATTGTGTTATCAATATATTTTGTCAGTTTTAGGAATATTTTGCGACTCATTTTTATGAAGTTTAATTTGGCACCCCTTAGAAAAAATTTCTGGCTCCATCCCCTCATGACTGATGATGGCGGGTCAATGCTCTATGCATACAGAATGAAATTCTGAATTCTTTCATTTATTCGGCTTTGTTTAAATACTACATTTGACATAAAGCTATTTTTGTTCGAGACAAAGGTTATATATCAGATAATCACAGCATTGGTCTTCCCATATTATCATACATGTCACATGTGCTCTCTCATATTTCCGTTTGATCACCTAAAGTTTAGAAAATGGAGCATAAAATGACAGAACGTTAAAACAAAGACATAAATTAGGGATGCAACACACCTTAAATTCTTCATAGTCTAGAACACCATCTCCATCAATGTCTGCTTGGACCCAGAGATCTTTTGTCTCCTGGAAACTTAGTCCATGAGAAAGACCAGTTAAATTGACCTGTAGATGGTTCAGAAAGGTGAGAATTTTACCACTCCTATTATACTCTAATTACGTCAAGGTATATCAAGGAAGTGAATGAAAAGTACCTGTCTAAGTGCATCACAAAAACCCGAATAACTTATATAGTTCCCATTGTTGTCAGCCCTTAGAAAGGCAAAGGCATCATTTTCAGCCATCGAAGCCTTTTGAAGTTGATACTGGAACCAAGAAAATGGAAATTAAATTTTAGATGTAGAAGTAAGATAATTGGTGATCTTCATTTGCAAAAGAAAAGGTAAAACATATGTTCCCCATCATGCTCCTAATCATAAGATAAGTGTAAGGTAAGACTCAGAGAGATCAGTACTGAATTCAGAATCCAGAACCACTCACTTGACACTTTCATCAACAAGTGAAGCATAGATCTTAGACTTGAGAAGTAGTTATAATGCATAGAGATGTTAAAAATTGAGCTAAGCATCACATATGACCTGCCCTGGTGTAAATGTCTAATGGCATGCTCTATAGAGGAAGTATATATTTGAATACTAACGTAAGAACTAAATAAACTATAATGTGAGCTAGGAAGAGAATTTGGAACTATAAACTAACAGTTTACTATGAAAAATGCTGAACTAACCTTTATTATCCCAAAAGCTGCTTCAGCCCAACTTATCTTCAATGGCTTTCGTGACTTATTAGGATTACGAAGCCATATGAAATCAACACCACAGATGTTTCCCCTATGATTTCGATGGCTAACCCACTGTTGGATATATGAGAGTAAAGCCAACATATTTAATCAGTAAGCATTACAGACTCCCAACAACATAGTGGTATATTGGTAAAGAGATGCTAAAATCTGGAGTTGAATATACTAACCCTGTGAGCATCTGCATCGTTGTCTGCATATTCATGAGCAATATCATAAGATGATACAAATCCCTGGGACCTGAGGAACTTGTACACATGTCCTCGCTTGCTTCCGTTCCAGTCACTGCAAAATCAATAACATTAAAAAAAAAAAAAAAAGCAAAACAAAACAAACCCTTTGCTGAGGAGATCATCAAACAATAAACCAAAGATAACGCTTACCCGCAGAGTATGACAGGCATCTCGCTGAGTTTGTTTTCTTTCTGATATGTTTCCAGATGTTGCAGTATTTGGTAAACCTAAGAGAAAAATACCAAAACCAGTGATAAGCATAGTCTGTTAACTTGGAAAAGAACTGAAACATAAACTGGAGTCATATACGGACATATTTCAGAAGAAGATAAAATCTACCTGGTGCAGTCTTACGATGGATAAACTGGAATCATGAGGAAACAATAAGTGGGTGTTCACAATAAGAATTTCTTGTTCAAAACTGTCATTCCCATTTTTCGAGAAAGGGATAACTGATTGAATACGTAACAATTGAGCAACACGGTCTCCAAAGTCATTCAGGAGCAACTCTTTATGATGTAAAACCCTGAAGTACTCCTTATGTATAGCAGTCAGCAAACCTGTAGAAGTAAAATTAATATAATTTTCAAACCTGAGACAAATAAGTACTCAAACCCTAAACATGAAGAACTAAAGTAATTGAATTTAAATCTTGCAGAATGGTCTCTACACACATTATGAGGACTGTAAACAGCCTAAACAGATATGACCATCCTCTTCCCCTGTCGCTGGCAGCTGAAAAGATAGAGCAAAAGGGAAAATATGTGAATTATAAAGGATCCAGTTCAGCCCCCAAAAGGTGAGAAAATGGTCATTCTTCTGTTTACCCTATTCTACAGAAGCCGAGCCAAATGGAAGACTTGCAGACTGAAAGTGAACGAGTTAGACATGAAACGCCACAATGTAGAGCACCCAGCTGCATCGAACTATATCTAATATTACAAAATTGTGTCAAAACTCTCAAATTTTCTAATGATTTGGACTCGATTTATAGCTTAATTTGCTTATATTGGGAAAAGCATATAAGAAACTCCCTATCTACCCAATTTATAAACAGAAACTTAAAATTTGCCACCAGTCTGAGAAGAAATTAGTTAAAGGGCGTGTACCATCTCCTCGGTTGTTGGTTCTTGCAAGCTTGAGGGTATCATAGCCAGCAGCACCGAGTCTTTCTTCATACATATGCACCAATTCTTCATTTCCAACCCAAAATTCCTAATCATAGAACCAAACAAATACACATTAAAAAAGGCTGATGTCATCAGAGTTGAAATTAAGCAATTCATATACCGAAAGTCAAACTGATGTGAGAGAGAAAGCAATAGAAGAAATGGGCACATGAAACCCACCTGGAGACAGATAATGGAAGACCTTTCATAAAGCAACCAATCTACAATCCTCTCATTTCTAGCTATCCAAAATGCTCTAAAATCACTTTCTCTTACGCTCTGATTCTGTTCCATCGTCACCCAAAATACAATGAATTAACAAAATTTACAAATACAGACATCGATAGGACGAAAAAAAAAGTAGTAATACAAAAGGGAAGAAGAAGAAGAAGAAGAAGATGAGGAAGAAATCACCTGTTGATCCAATCGCTTGTAGATAGGAGCCAGGATGTTGAAGGTGGTACAAGAAAAGCAAGGCTCCCCCATGGTTGAAGAAACATAACCATTTTTAGTCCTCAAAATCGTTCCTTTATAAGGAACAGACTCGTTTTCAGTTGAATCCACATTAGCAAATCCAGGGTCATTATGAAATCCTGCCAACAACACCTTTCAAAACAAAAATACAAAAGTAAAAACAAAGAATCATTACAAGACAGTAAATCGAAAGAGAAACAAAACCTAAATTCCCCAACAAGAGAAAGTTTCTAAATTTAAACATACCATTTCAGAATTCTTGCCACTTTGACTGTTGTTCTTGTTGTTGAGGTAAGTAAGGAGAATTGGAGAAATGATAAAGGGAAGGAAGCAGAAAATGAAGGTTTTAAAAAGGGTAGTTTTATAAAAGTTAGATTTAGGCCTTGGCCTTAGCTTTGACTTGTGGACAGAGTTGGATGAAGGGTGAACTACGTCTTGATTCATATGGTCCAGATTTTTTATTTATAGAGAAGTTAATGGAGAAATGATTGATCGACGTCAGGGGGGGAGGTGGGTTCTTCTTTGTTTATCAAAAACAATGGGGTCCCATTGTTTAATATTTCAGTGTTGTCATCGTAAACAGCTGGCTAAGCCTAGGCTGTTTTAACTGTCCTTTTGTATCTTATTCTTAACTGTAACAATAAGAACATTCCCTTTTGATTTAAGTGATTAATTTTACTTATTAAAGTGGACTGTAATTTATTCTCTATTTATATTTAATTATTTTCTCAACGTATGCGATACAAGGACCATTCTTTCAGGGAGGAAATTTTTATTTTTATCCTTTTTTTTTTTTTAATTTCCTAAGTGTTTGCTTTCCCTTTTTCATGGAGAGCAGCCGCATAATAAATTTAGCTTAAGCTTTAAGCAAAAAAAATGAAGCGGGCATGCTATATTTTTTGACAAAGCGAAAAGGTTGGCTGCCCGCGTTGCTTTTTTAGGCTTTTAGCACGTAATTAACACGAACTTTTATTAGCTGATTGGAAAGCTTGTCGTAGGATTGGTCGAACTGCTGACGTAGCCTGTCACGAAAAGAAAAGTAAGAAAATGTCAGAAAAAATAATCATCAGTCGCTGTCGAAAGTAATAACACGGATCACATTTCAACGCTTAAATCCATATAGTATAAGAAAAATATGCTCAAACATTAAATTCAGCAAAGATTATGAATGCGGTGAGAGGAAAAGAGAGATTGTGTAAAAATTATGAAGTTGACAATATGGCACCTCCTTGGTTCAATTTTATTTTTTAGATCTTATTAGTTTTTGGCTCAATTTTATTTTTTATATTTTTTATATTTCATGACTTATGATGTGATTAATTAATTTATTAAATATTAAATTTATCAAAATAATTATGAGTCGTTATTGTCGGTTCATTAAGATCAAATTATAAATAGTTTGATATTAAATATTTCTTTTAAAGATTTGAATTAATTTCTTTTTTAAATAAGAGGATATGATTGAAAATAAAGTAGGGGAGTAGGAGGGGGGTTTTACTTTTTTGGATGGAGTTTTTTTTAAGTGGAAGGGTATTTATTCATTATAATTTATCTTTTAATTAATCAATGTTATGTACTTACTCTATTAATAAATCTATATAGATATTAAGGAGATGAAAACGCCATACTATGATTTTAATAATAGGTTCAACTAGAATTAAAGATTTGTTTTGGTGTATAATATATTTTTGTAGAAATGATGTCCAACTATAATTGTGGAGACCAAATAATGAAAGAAAAAAAAAATACTAGTAGAGAAAATGTCGGTGCCAATTCCAAATTAAAGGGTCACGGGAAGTTTTTCTTGTAAAATATGTAGTACTACCTGGGACCTTTTCTTTTTTTTTTTTCATGAAAACACTTGGCAAGAAAAATAATATAAAAACCATAGCATTGAAAACTCCTTAGGTACAAATGATTTTGTGACCAACAAAGTTTCGTACATATACCACTTTTCTACTTTTTTTTTTTTTAATTATTTAGAAAGAGTATTGGAGATAAGGAAGAGAAAATTAATAATCATGGACACGGGAGAGTAATACTTTTTTTACAGATAACATTGATGTCAATTCATTTGAAAAAAAAATTTTTTAATCAAAATTTAATTGAATTAATTTTTAAAAATTAATTTGTATATGTGATATTTAATAAATTTAAATTTAACATCTATAAATTTTTTATTTTAAATTACTATTTTTTATAAAAAATTAAAAATAATTAAAACAATAAATCAGTCAAAATTATTAACAAAATAAAATTTTTCGAGAATCATTTCAAATGTTTGAGGTTATTCCATAATCAATACTATAACAAATGCTAGCTGCGAATGAGGGAAAGAAAAAGGAAAACAATAAAAAAACAAATTTGGATTGTGATATGCATGCCTCAAATCTAATAATACAAATTCTAAGAAATTGATAAATAAATAAATTCGAATATAATTTTTTTTTGGGGTGAAATAAAGGTGCATTAACAAAGCCACCCAACAGGGGGCTTGCATAGACACCGGAGCAGTAAATCAAAGTGAAAGGAAAACACGCTAATGCAAGGTATGCAACCGCGTGTGCTAATGTCGGGGCCTCTGTCTTTAATCTATCCTATATTTACTTTTAGTTACTTTTTTTATATGCAAAAGATGAAAAATTAAAATAAAAAAATTATAACTGCAGAAAAAAAAATTCAATTTGTTAAAATTTATCCTTTAAAATAAAAGAGATAAAATGAATATTGAACAATGATAAAATATTTAATATAATATTTAAATTTAAATTTTTTAATATTTTATTTAAATTATGAATATATTAATTAATGTAATATTTAAAAAATTATTTATCTATATTAGATTATTATTTCAAATTAATTACATTAATTAACATATTAATAATTCAAATAATATATTAAAATTTTTTAAAATTTAAATATTAAATTATAATTATAATTTAAGAGTAATATATAACATTTACTTTAAAATAAATGAATGAACCATGGATTCATATCACCTGCAATTAACACTCCTACGATCTTATAATTTATTGATTTGGACCCAAAAAAATATTAACACGTAATTGTAAAATTTGTCACTCTTAGGGCTAAAGTTAATTGCAAAATAATTAGATTATTTCAAGAAAACAATTTTTTAAATTAAAACAATAAAAAATTAAAGACTAATGTATTTTGCTGGATGAGAAGCAACCATTCAACTCCATCAAATCTTTACAGTTCTCAATGAACACAAAAACTCATAATTTGAAAATCACTTTTTGATATAAAAGAATCCAAAAACCAAACTTATGAAACCCTTCTCAGTCTAAGAGAAGAAGAAAGAGAGGCCCTTGTACAGCCAATTGCAAGTGATCTAAAAAGAAACATCAGTCCAATGAGTTTTGGCCACGTGGTAACCAAGCCCCCACATCGGTCAGAACTGAGCTACCTGGCCTTTTTCTTTTGGGCTTTCTGGAAAAGTGACTGATTTATGAGTCAAAGTGGCGGTGGAGACGATTTTTAAGAAGGAAAGATCCACCAATGTTTTTTTTTTTTTAATTTTTGTGAGTGCAAAAATTATTGTTTGAGACAACGAAATTATTTTTGCCGTTAACGTTAGCGTCAAGAGTGATAAGGATACATGTACACATGACATGGCAATGTTTCTTTAGTCTAAATCAACAAGTTGTAGGAATGCAGGAGTGCCATTTGCAGACGATAAGAATTCAATGAACTATTTAAGATAAGCTATAAGATCAAGTTGGAGTTATCTTTCTTTCCCTTCTTATCGTAATAGTAAGTAGATATAGAAAAGCCTCATGGTTTTCTACTGGCTAGACAATATGTCGGCTGTCGGCTGTGATATTGGGGAAGTACTTTGAACAAAGTTCTGAAATTAAATCCATTAAAAAATTGTGAAATTAATTCATATTACAAGCAAAGTGAAGAAGTAATTAAAAGAAAATGATTTTGAAGTGGAACTTAAACCGAGAATTGAAAATGGGAAGTAATTGGGCAATTAGGCAAGTTTTTCCCTTAATTCATGTTTCTCGACATGCTTCTTTTTCACTTAAACCTTTATTTTCTTATTTTTTTTCAAAAAAAAAAAAAAAAAAAAACCTGCAACGTTTTCCATATGTACTCCATCATATGACGTTAAAAAACATGTGCCAATACAATGAACAACATCCATAATAGCAGATACAATAAATACTCAAAGATTTCGTGTTCAATGAATGCCATTGTCGAGATTTCCACCGTTCACATGTGGGAGAGCCTTCTACGGCTCCGACGAGAATTTTGTGGTGGAGTTAGCAAGTTATTGTAAGAATGACGAATAGAGAAAAAAAAAAAGAAAAAGGGTGAACTTAAATGATTTTGAATTTAAATTTTATTAATAATTTTGATTGTCATTAATTTTGGATGTATTATGTTTATAAAATATAATTTATCTTGTTGTAATATGAAAACTTAAAAACTGAACAATCTATAAAATATTCGAATTTTCAAATTTCAATAAATTCTACTACTTATAATATTAACTTGCTAAACGTTATGTATGTATAAAAATTCCGAAAATAGTTTTTTTTAATAATAATAATAACAACAATAATAAGATTTCAATTGATTTAAACAAAATATTTTTATATTTAAAACATTGAATTAATAAAAGAAAAATATTTGCATGTGCAAAATAAAAGTAAATAAAAAGATAATAAACTCTGATTGTAATAGCAAAAAAATATATATATTTTAATTTTCAAATGTATATGCATTCACCATTCGACCTCATTTAGGACAATAACCTTTAAAATTTATATAATCAAGTGGGCCTGAATTTTAATTTGGCGTGACCACAAGAATAGCAAGTCGGGTCAAAAGTCATTGGGAATTTCGGCTGCCATGGGATTTGTAGTTTCAAAGTGCCCATTTGTTACGTATCATTATACACCTGAGCAGCAGATTGTTAATCCGTCATCAGATGAGTAGCAATCACCCACCCAACAGCATTTCTTCGGAACCACGTTCCTTCAAACTGTACCTGGATAAGCCTTACCAACCTCCTTATACAACTGGAGAGCCACCTTGTGTTAATATTATTCCAAAACAACTCAATTACTGCTTGTTTGATCCAAAAAGATATTGGAAATAGGTCTAGAAAAACACAAACTATATATCCTTTTCAAGAACAAAGATCATACACTTCAGGCCAAATAGGAAAAGAGAACTTGAAATTTTGACAAATGGAAAGTATATTATTGAGGAAGCCAAAACTCTTAGTGTATTACAAGAATGTTTCATCAGTAATAAAGGTTATACTATATATTTAAGCTAGACAAAGAAATTAAAAAAAAAAGAAAGATAGAACTTCATCATCCATTTCGCCATCTCAACGGACAGAAGGTCTTGATCCAAAGACAGCAACTGAATTTTGCTTTTACTTAAAGTTATATAAAATAAAGGCCTATCTGCAAGAGAAAAATGAAATGCAAACAACATAATGGAGAGCCAAATTCTGCATCCAAAAGTTGCAGCCTTTCAACCTGAATGGGACCTGGAAGATATCCGCATGGCATTCTTCAAATGCACTAGATGGCAAGTAGAAGAAACTCTGGATCCAATCAACTGCCCTTTTCATTACTTCTGCGACAGCATTTATCCTGGGAGTTATCCACCGGCGGTGGACGTTCTTGTTCTTCTCCTTACAACTGCTTCATATCTGGCAACACTAGTCATCATGTTGATAGAGATATCAAGAAGAGGGCGGCCTTGTCTCAGTCAGTCCAAGAGATTCTTGCTGCCTTCAGGTCCGCTGTCACTCCCGCTAATCCTATTAGCATTAGCAAAAGGTCCACGAATCAACATTTTATTTCCTCTCTCATGCATTGCTCCAGCAATTCTTCAACTGATTCAAATTTCTGCTCTTGCCTTTGACATTGGAGCTGATAAGGACCCTAGATACGCATTCTTGGAAGCTTCTACGATTTCAGGGATTTTGCATGCAAGTGTATACCTGGATTCTATCATCCTTCCTTACTATACAGGTATTGATGCTCTAGCATCGTCAACATTTTCTGGTGAGTGCCTGTCTTGCATGTGTCGTAAAGAGGTTTTGGTCGCAGGAGGAAAGTTGATCTCCTATCGAGGATGGTCAATGACTACATTTTGTGTTATCGTAGCTCTGTGTTTAAGAATTATTTGCAGGCTGTCTGCAGAGAACAAAGGGAAATTCTTATCTATCCAGTCTCTATTGGAGAGTTTAGCTTGGATCTTGATCACCAAGGATTGCATTTATCTGGTATCAAACTCTCGGCCGGAACAATCGCTGCTACAAGCAGCTGCTTTTGGAGGCATACTAGTATTAATTTGCCTTCATGTACTCAAAAGGTTCTGCACACTTATTATGCAATGGCATTGAGGTTGAAATTAATGATTGTTTGGTAGATGAAACGAGGACAGGAAATGAGATGGATGTGGGATTTTTTTTTTTAACTGTTGAGCAATTAATTCTTTTTCTGCAAAAGGTTTGTATCATTGTTATTATTAACCGTAGAAGTAGCTGCTGTTGATTAGATGGTTCAAAGTTCGCTCGAAGATACGCATCATGGTTGCATAGGAAGACCAAATGTACAGTTGAATTCACATTATTGCCTCATTGTAGGAAAAAATCAAACCATCAGTAGTCAATTGTTTGGCCCCGGACACTTTTTTTTTGGTTCTATTTGTTTGTATTTTTTGTTATTTCACAAGGGAACAGAGGAAATTGTGCAACAGATTGTGCTGTATCTACCACCATAAAATTTCATTGCTTATGTTTATCCAGCTATATTGGCAGAAGACTTAACAATGAGATCAAACATAAAACAGTCACCAGGATAGAACGGTAATTTAACATATGAATTTTGTACGCAAAAGCAATATATTTTCCCCAGATCCCTAATACAATTGGCCAAAACTGATCATAAAAATTTAACAAAGCTCAAAAGAGCACTCAGGATTCACCACAAGGGAGAAAATTTGAATATCGACTTCATTTTCTCATTGTGGAGTATACCCTCCCTCTTCAACAGAAAACTGTTGCATTTGATGGTAGAAGCAAATGAAAACGTAAATCAAAGTCATAAGAAAAATCTCCTTCGGCTGGTGTCCATTTCAGGCTGACATTCAAATATGGGGAAGAATAGATGCAAGTTATGAGACTCATAGAGATGGATTGCTAGGTACAAAAACACAGAAACCAATCAGTATATCATAGAAAATTCAGTGACAAGTAATTACCTTGTGAACCCACTCGTATTCTCCGCCTTTGGTATCAAATGTTCCATGCTGTAGATTTACTAACTTTAGAGTAAACCGAGGACCACATTCCTGCATGTTTTGATAAAACCATTAATCATAACATATATTTATGGCCAAATAAACAGTTTTTGAGTGCAAATACCAGATTATCAACAGGCCAAAACCATAAGACTAAGGGCAGCAAAGACATTTCTAGAGGTGAGGTTAACTCAAATGATCGATTTCCAAAAACCAGAGCTAGCAAGATTATTTTCAGAATCTCTAAATACATTTGTAATAACGGAAGTGAGGAGGGAAACAGACCTGAAGATGAGCAACCACTTTTTCTTTGGCAATGCTCTCATCCTTGGCATCCTTTGCCTTTTTACCCTTTGAGTCACTCTGTTTGCTCTCCTTGGTTTCAAATATATACCTGATTGCATGAATACACAATGTCTCAGAAAGAATTTTATACAATCATCAATTACCTAACTCGCAATAGATTCAGAGACTAGGAAGGCACACCTATGATGTCGGAAGAATATAAAATCTCGTTGATTGTGAAAGGTTACAACTCGTCGACCTTGAAAATTAGGATCTTGGGGAAAAAGTGACTGGATTAACCTAGACCGAACAGATCAACAACAAAAACAGAAACTCAGACTGAAAAGCCTACAGAGGTAGATCATAAGATTGGGAAGACACACATTTTTCACAAGAATATATTTGTAATCCTGGTATAACCATTTAGAAAAGTGAGGAATCTGCAATTTCTAGCAGAATTTAAACAGTCAGGAATAGATAATAAAATAGAGAAGAGCATGCAACCTCCCAATACGATGGCCCAGGCGAGTGGTGAAGTTATTTAATACTAGCTCAGGCTTGTGACTGGTAGGATTTCCATGATTCTACAAGGACACAAATAGAGGCAATTAAAATGATTACAATAACAACTCCTTCCCTAGAAATCCAGCATTTAGACATGAAATTAACATCCAATCCAAATCAGAGAAAGAGAAACCGCAATATAGCATGAAGGATAGCTCACATAAAGTTGAAAGAATCAATCTTCTACCTTAATATCCTTCCTCAAAACCAGACTTGAAAGCTTGAAATGGGCTGTAGGCCCATCAGGCAATCCAATGATTAGAAGACCATCTAGATGACAGCCAAACCAACTAATCAACTCTAATTCTCATAAAGAATACAAAGCTAGAGCCACATAAAATAAAGTCCAAGAGCAATTAATAAAGAGAGTTATCAAGAAATTCATATAACAAACCCGGTTCTCTTCGGTTGGTGTGAACTACTATAATTGATGTGAATTCTTTGTTATTCGCATATTCCACAATCTGCAATAATATGAATACACAAAAAAGATACCTCTAAATGCTACTAACCCAAATTTCTTTTTATTATATTATCTTATAGAAGAATAATTCAAGAAAATTATCAAAAGCACCTTTTTCAAGTCATATGTTCCTCTCTTATAGTAATGAGCATTAGGGATCACCGAAAGCAATTCGGAGATAAAAGCAGGTCCCCTCTGAGGACATAGTTATCCATAAACAGAAGATATCAGAATATTTAGTAAGACAAAATTCATCAAAATGTAGCTAAAAAGAATGGAAATTGAGATAGTATATGCTTTTTTTTTTTGTTATGCATAGTTTAATCATTAACGAGAAATAGTAAGATAAAAGAGCATACAGTAGAATTGAAACGGCAAGTTGTGATTAATATCTTTGGAGTGCGATCATGCTTTAGAATCGAACTAAATTCATCCGCGTCATTACCAGCAAACAGCTGGGAAAAAAGATAATTTTCTAGTCAGATTTCAAAATTTTATATATTTAATCGAATTTTCCAAGAAAATAAAGCAATAGATTTACCTCTTCATCATCAGGCATGCAAACAGTTGCGTCAGCCTCTCTCGTATTTTCAATAGTGCGAGGGATTTGCTTCGGTGGAGGCTGCAAAATAAATAAATAAATAAATAAATTTCAGCAACCGTTTGCTCCATTAAAAAAAAGGAAAAAAGAAAGGAAAATGGGGGAAGACCTCTTCTCCGAGCTCGAGAGCGCGTTTTTCGGCGGCGGCGCGAGCTTTAAGCTTCTTGCGTTTGTCGAGCTTCTTTTGATGCTTGAGTTTGGCGTGTACAGCCGATCTCTTCTCCTTGTTTTTAATGGAGGAAGGAAGTATCTCAGTCTTCTCCTTCTTCATCTTTTTATTACTGTTTTTTCCATCGTTATCTCCTTCCATCCCTTCGCTTTCACTATTCTTTCTTTTTCCGCCCATGTTTGTTTGGCTTCGTTGTCTCTCCTGTGGGTGGATGAATACTGATTTACAGAAAAGGGAGAAAAGGTTGATGGCGTCTAGGGTTTATTGTTTTGAATATTGATAGCGGATCAAGCCCAGTCATGGATAATGGGCCCAATGGAGGCTCAGCTTCTTTATGGCCCAGTATGTATCTGTAGCTAAAATATATTTTGTTTTTTCTTTTATAAATACAAATAAGAGCAATACCCAAATTTAGAATTTCCCCTGAAACTATGAAGCTGATAGCTATTGAAATAAATAAATAAATTATATAAATATATATGCTATTGTTAACACCATAAATAATCCATAAAATGGGCCAAAAGATTTTGCCCACAAATATAATATTGATCCAATAAAAGTGATAAATGTATATTGGACCAAGAATCAAATTAATTAGTGATTTGTATCATTAAACCAAATATGATTAAAATAAATTAAGACAACCAACAACCATATAAAAGGCCAACGGTGTGCATTGAAGAAAGTAATACATGAATAAATTAAGAAAAACTTAAATTTGATGATTTTTTTTAGAATGATAATTTGATGTTAAGGACAACATGGTAAAATGTTAACCTTTGGTTGGCATACAGCACAAGTTAAAATTAAAAATCTTGACACATAATTTAGTTGGTCACATATCAAGATAGAATATCAAAGACACATGTCATTATTTAAATAATAAAGCAACTTAGATTCATTGAATTTTTTATTTTTAATTAATAAAAAACCAAAAGACAATCGATTTGAATCTATAGATTTACTATGTTATTTTTCAAGAGCTTAGGCAATATTATCCTTTCCAAATAAGTGAGTTAGTTTGGGGGAACCGTCGAGGAACATGTTTGATGGGTGTAGTATGGAAAGCCTCGTTCCTTGCTAGTCAGGCCAGTTTAATTCCTTTTGTCAGTCTGCAATTCCTGGAATTTTATCGATATGATGATCTAGATTGGAGACTTAATGGTCCATACAATTAAGTATTATGATGGTTAGACTGGTCGATGATTAACATTTATATCAGACTGATTAATGAGTTCAGCCGCATCATTTGTGTATTCGTCTGAACTAAATTGAATATGGCAGGTAGTAATTTTGATTCATTGGAACTCGGGAAACAAGTACATGATCAATAGGAAGCATAAATTAAAGAAATATTTATTTCGATGAGTGGTTCTTGAGAGGAAGATTGGGACACAACAAAAAACTTGCAATTCTAGCTAGTTGACTAGGTAGAAAGTAGAGATTGATTAGACTTGTGACCTTGCATTACAGTTCTCTTCTTCTTTTACTTGGGGCTGCTTCAGCTGTTGAGTTTCTTCTGCCTCAGAGTTTCTGCCCCAGAGCAGGATATATAAACCAATTACAACTAGGATAGATCCAATGACGCTGTTCATAGCCAATAAAGGGATGTTAGAAGCCATATAAATAAATATTTGATCAGAAGCAACAACTACTATTAGGAAAGAAGGATTAAAGTAATTAGTACAACCTTCCAAAGTAGATTTGTCCATGTAGAATGGAGAAATCGAACATGGCTACAAATATTTGCACGAGTGGACTGAACGCAGATGTGAAGACTGGACCCTTTTGTTTGACACACCAGGACATTCCCACATAGCACAAGCCTGACGCCACCGTTCCCTGTTTTGATAACATTGAAAGAATGGGACTATATATGAACTTGATTTCATCAAACTTTACAGGCTAAGAATCATATAAACTTCGCAAACAGGATACTTACCATATATGCCACTGTTATTAGTTCCAGTTTTTCTTTCAAAATCCATTTGGTAAAGTCCCTCTCTGTTATCAAACTGATGATGGCTGACTGAATTGCACTGAAGAAAGACAAAAAAGCAGTGCTGGAATATTGGCACGGATATGTCCTTCCAATACTGGCTTGCAGAAGGAACCATGATGACCAAAAGGTGGATCCCGCCGCCAGAAATATCGAGCCAATGGCCCATCTCTCTTTCTTCTTAGTTGAAATCATTGTATTGGCATAGTTTATGACATGAGTTGTGGCCCGTGAATTTGATCTGACCAATGCCTTTCCTTTGTAAAGGGTCAAAAGCATAGCTCCACCGATGCAAACCAACGTACCAAGAATCTTCCATATCCCGGCCTTGTTTTTGATATTCACCTTCTCTAGACTGAAAATGCATGATATCAAAGAGTTAGGACTCAGTTTAAAAGTTAGAGGGATGCAGTTGGTGTCTAAGACTTTACCCAAATGGTAGCGCCAACATAAAGGTGATTGCAGGAACCATATTTATGAATGCACATGAGAACGTTGCCGAAGTATATTCAAGTCCAAGAAGGAAAAAGTACTGTGTGAGTGTTGCCCTGGAGGATATTTGTTAAAGGTTGTTAGTAATTTATAAAGTTCAAGGAGGATAATAAACAGAAACGGAGGGATTTACAACTAACCCTATAAGAGCATTGATGAAAAGCAGGCATAAAATACGAGCTGTGAGCTTGGGTCTGCTTTTTCTGCAAGAAAGCTAATAACCTGTAGTAAGTGCCATGTCAAAAATGCTACCATACAGAAACTTCCAGGATTCAATCGGGTGAACGGTTTAGCTGAGTGCAAACAACAAGTAGGTAATAGAACTTCATTGAAAGGGACATGCATGTTAAATACTACAGGTGTTTACCTTTCCCAAAAGTAGGCAATTGGTGCCAAGAAAACAGCAGAAATTGCTTGACGGTACATTAAGATGATTATATGGCTCACTCCTTCATCTAGAATCATTTTGACAAGCACATTTGTTATAGCCAACGCAAAGTTAACAGCTATCATTGCAACAACAGGCTTCCATTGTCCACAGCAGTTCATCTCAAGCAATATGCGTAAAGCAATTAGAGAAATCCCCTCTCTCCTCTCTCTCTGTATGGTAAAAATTCTTGAGCTTCGAAGCACAATTCAATCTTACCATTTTGTCTTCCACTATAAATAGGGACCCCCTCCAAACCTGGAATATGATTTGTTTTTATAGATTCCAATCATGTCCATGCTCTAAGCAATCAACTTTGCGGCCTTTTCCATAAATATTATTCTGTTTCTGAGCTTTCTGCAGTACCTTTTTGAACAGTAAGAGATCACAGAACCACGGGGAAAGTTATTCATGCATCATCAATATTAAGAGTTCAGAAATTCATTACTAGCACTAATTACGTCTTGTTTTACAAATTTTCATCGCAATTAGAGCATAACTAATCTTCATGCCACAAAAATTTATATGCTTGTTAATTTCATCTTTGAGTAGACGAGTATTCATAAGCATCTTTGAAGGTGGCGACAGACAAGACCAAGCATCTGTTTCTTCTGTGTGGCATCCAACTCCAAATATATAGATTGACCTGGTAATTACAACTGGGTTAGAGCTGAGAACAATATGTCAAGTCTTAGAAGACAAAAAAATAATAATAATAATATTAAATAACAAATATCAAGTAATCAGATGCTTATTATTTTGTTCTGCTACAAACATGAGAACCCTGTATGAAGATGCTGAAGAATGGTCTCTTAATGCTTTTATTGTCATTTGCCAATACATTTCGGGAATAATCCTCTTTATGCTTTTTCTATATTTATTTGTTTATTTGGGGCAATTCTGGATAACCGTGAAGGAAGTTGGCATCAGCCGTTCAAGGATTATTCTTTTTGGTATGCAACTACAAAGGATGAAAAATGTGCGGATTTCAGCGTCCATTGCTTGAAATTCAACAGGAATTCACTCAACGTTTTCGTTCTCTGAGTACCCCTAAACATGATAATCTTCCCCGTCCACTATTTTGTTCTTGCCATAGTTTTTTTTTTTTTCCCACTATTTTTGTGGGAGAGATTTAAAGCAAGGAGATGTATAGTCACTGTTCATGATTGAATACAGAAAAAGAAAACGAGTCCAAATGTAATACTGTATCCCACCAACAGAAAAAGTTAAGCAAATTCCATCTACGCTACTTCTTGATGAGAAACAGCATCATGTGCTTAGACTTTACAATAATTAAATTTTTAAATATTTGCATTGCCTGGCAAAACATAAGATCATTTAAAGCTCAAATTGTTTAATAAAAAATTGCGAATATTCTTATGATATTTTGATAAAATATTATTCTCTTAATTTCTATTTTTAATTTATTTCTCAAATATATATCTATATCTATTTGTACTCCACATAAAAAAAGGAACTCTTGAATTACAAATAGTGAATGATACATATAATACACACATATATATATATATATATACACTTTTGATAATTTTTTATATTAATTTTTTAAGATGTGATCCATTTCTATCAAATTTTTATTTTTTTAACTTTTTTTTATCATTTTCATTTTTTCTATTTTTAAAAATTTTTAATGAATAATTTTTTTATATTTTAATTTTTTATTGTGTAAAACCCAGTTATGTCAAGAGTATGTTATGTGTTTTTTTTATTATTATTTTTCTTGATTATATATTTAATAAAATCTTTAAAAATTTTAAATTCTTTTTTAATACTAAATGTATGCTATGTATTTTTTTTCTATTAATATTTTAAAGATTTTAATTTTTTTTATGGCCTTATTGGGTACCAAGGATACGCCAAGTGTTTATATATATATATATATATATATATATATATATAAAATAAATATTTTAAAAATTTTAGATTATTTTTTGTTTGATCCAACAATACTAGAGGTGTGACATGTGTCAAAGTCTTTTTTACTTTTTAATATTTAATAAAATTTTTTAAATATTTTAATATTTTTAAATATGAGGCTCATTTAATGTTATTGATTAGAAATTTTTTTCTGTTTTTTGTTTTTTTTTTTAACTTGATAAATTTAAAAAAAAAAGTATTACAAATGTATCGACGTTAAATCTAGATTTGATATATGTAAATAAATATATATATATATATTTGGTCATTTGTTTTTTTGTCTTTTATTTTTACTTCTTAAAAATCAATGATATAAATAAGAAAATAAACTTATCATTTAGATATTAATTATATTAATAAAATAATTATTTAATAACTTAATTTAATAAATCCACATGCAATTCTCATTTACCTTTATTTCTTCCTTTTTTTTGGTCATTTCCTTTGTTCTTTTAAAGTTTTAACTTTTTTTAATTAAATAAATTTTATAAAAAAATCAAAAAAATATAAAGATGACAAAATAACTTATATCTATTGAATTTTAATTTGGCTTTGTCTAATATATACAGGTTTTTAAAATTTGGGATAGGATCAAATTTTTTTTATTTTTAAAATCAAGATTTGGTATAAAGTGAATTTAAAGTTTATTGTCTTACCCTAAGTATAGATATATAATTATTATTTTAATTATTTATTTCATATATATGTATTATGTTAATTAAATTATTATTTAACATTTTAATTTCATAAAAATAATATATTTATAAAAAATTAAGATATAATCAATCATCCATTATATAAATTTTATTCATTTTAGCTTTTGTTTTATCGTTATTCAAGGTATCAACATAATATTTTATATATTTTCTTTTTTTTTTAACTTTTTTATTTTAAAAATTTTTAATTTAGATAAATTTGTGAAAAAAGCCTAATTAAAATATCTATGTGGCATCCCAATTTTATTTATTTTTATTTTTTTAATTATGTAAATTTTGCAACAAATATAGTCAATGCATAAAACAATTCATTTATAGTGAGTTTCTATCAAACTCAATTCAATATGAGACCATTTTTTTAAGTAATTTTTTTGCTTTATACATTTTTTTATTGATTATTTCTTTAATAAATAAAATTTTGTAAGAAATAATGTTAATGCAAGTGTCTATGTATTATCCTTATTTGTATATTTTTTTTGTTTTTTTAATTAAATCAATTTAATAATAAAATAAGTCATTTGATAAAGATGACAAATAATAAATATCTAATCGATTTTGATTTATTTCTATTTGCTGGGAACATTGTTGGATTATGGGGTTCAATGGTCTCCCTTAGGGACTCAGTATGTCGATTCATCTGAGTGGGTTATCCCATGGTGGATCTAATTTTGGTGTATGACAACTTAACTTGTCGAGGTCCAATAGGTGAGGTATCTCATGAAGGCTTTGTGAAGCCCTTTATGTCCACCTGTCGCTTAGTACGGGGCTCTGCGCTACCAAAAGAGAATAAAAAAATAGAGTTGCACATTCACTATCAGCTATAGCTTTTGGTGTAGTGGTAAGCGCTTGATCTTGAAAACTGGTATCAAAGTGAGGTTGCAGGTTCGAGTCCCCCAGGTGCCACTGAGGGGGAGATTGTTGGATTATGGTGTCCAGCAGTCTCTTTTAGGGACTCGATATGTCTATTCATCTGAGTGAGGTATCCGATTGTGGATCAAATTTCGGTGTATGACAATCCAACTTGTCGAGGCCCAATGTGTGAGGTATCCCATGAAGGCGTTACGAAGCCCCTTATGCCTACGTGTCACTTAGTACGGGGTTCTGCGTTACCAAAAGAAAATAAAAAAATAAAGTTACACCTATAGCTTTTGGAGGCCCAATGTGTGAGGTCCCTTATGTCCACCTGTCACTTAGTACGGGGTTCTGCGCTGCCAAAAGAGAATAAAAAAAATAAAGTTACGCCTTCACTATCAGCTATAGCTTTTGGTGTAGTGGTAAACGCTTCATCTTGAAAATAATATGGTTAGCCTTGAGTTGATCCTTATTTTGAAATGACAAAACATTAAAGGTAAATAAAACTTGATCAAGATTTTGAAAAAAAATTTATTTAGTACATGTTCTTAAGTTTTATATTTTGGTACTAAATAAATAATATGATTTTCAAAGCTTAAACAAAACTTTCTTGTTTTCATATTTCTCAAACCAAATCTATCTTTAAAGATTATTTATTTGAGCTTAAATGAAAGTTCAATTATTATTTTTAAAGTGAACTTATTCATTTTGGACTTAATACAATTTTGATAATATTGATTTTGAGAAATAGATTAACTTAAGAAAGTTGTTTTACAATAATAAAGTTTTTCAACATCGAACTTGTTTTATTTTTTTGTATTAATTCACAAAGTTTAATATTTGAATTTTATATGATTGAAAAGCTCTTTGATTATACTTTCTAATTGATTAAACAAAATCTAAATCTAAATTTTCTAAGAACAGATTTTGAATTTTTACTAGACACTCTGCACTTGTCAGAAAAATTGCACAAGGTCGTACACTGTAAATTAGGTGATGAAATTTTATGGATAGAAAAGCCCTTTAAGTATAGTTTTAAATCTTCAAACGGTTGTAATTTAGATTTATATAACTAAAAATATGATCAAATTAGTGAGTAGAGTACAAAATAGAAGATAACCACCCAGCCACTAACAAGATCAATCTCCTCATAGAAGGGATCGATCAGGTCGTGATTTTCAAACGTAAATTGGTTTAAAACATGAACTAATCGATCCCCTCATGGAAGGGATCGATTGGTTCTGGGTGAAAACACTCAAACGGTTACTTTTTGGTGCTTTCAACGGCTATTTTCTTCTCTCAAACACTTCCAATAGCTACCTCTTTAATTTTTCTATAAATTGGACACTCCAACACATCAAGAAGATTGATGAATCAAGAGAGTAAGAGCCAATAAGCCACATTTTCATTCTCTCAAAGAATCAAAAGTTTTTAGAGCTTCAAAGTTCATATCTTTGTATTTATTGTATCCAATTTTTATTTGTTGTTCATTCATCATTTTCTTGTACTTAAACTTAGCAAACACTTAATCTTAGAGAGGTTATTTTATTATTTGTAAAATTATCTTTAATATACAATGGTGGAAGAGAACAATAGGTGAGGTATCCTCTTAAAAGCTTTATAGTGAGATTGGATAAAATACTAAAAAAGGTAGAGATTTTTATCTTAAGCCTTAGAAAGAAAAAGATAGGTTGTATTTTCAATTCAAGAATAATGGATTGAAGCCTTGGTGTGGATAACCAAGAAGAGATGACGTAGGTGGCTTGTGAAAAAAGACCGAACTCTATAAATCATTATGTTTGATTTCTCTATCCCTATCTTCTTACAATTTATTGTTGTTTATATTTGATTTTAGATTCATTAATTGTTATTGTTTGCATTATATTTTCATAAAAAATGCTTATTGTTTTAATTTTCATTCATCTATATTGAAATCATTTGTTTTGGAAGAATTTTGAGAAATCTAATT